TTGATATTGATTTGCTTTTACAATGCCATTATGTGTTGATATATGTTGCACCCGCAAGAGTCAGAGACACGTGTAGAAAGATTGTCCCGTAAATGTGTAAAATGTCCCGTAAATGACAAACTCTATACTTAGTTTATAAAACCGAAAACTTGTTAAATATTTATTTATGTATTCATGTATAGATATTATAGCTAATTTTAGCATATATTTTGTATTTGAGTGAATGGTGTTTTGAATGAACATGTTTTTATTGCAAAGTGTTTGAAACAGAAAAAAATAGTTCAGAAAAAAAATAACATTGTCGTGATTTTCGAGTTTAAAAAGTTATTTACTTTTGAACATGGATATGAATTACATCTCATTTTATTCAACTCGTAATCAATTTGTTAAATAAAACATAATATACACGCTTTATGAAAACAGTTGCAAATAAAAAGCTGTTAAATAGTACGTCCCGTAAATGATCACATAATGTCCCGTAAATGGTGTGCATGTTTTTTATATATATAAAACAAATTCTGGTAAAATGCTGCACACGAAACAAACTCATTTGATTGATGGTTTATTAAAGATATATTTAATGTAATCACATACTAGTTTTTACACAATTTGTATAAGCAAATTCTCGTTTGTTGCCCTTAGAAAAGCACATTTAGGACGTTACGACACATTTCATTTCAACTTGTTCATGCATCTCTTTTTATTTCAGAATGGCAAAAACAAAGTCACAGAGGATGAAAGAATATAGAGAAAGAAAAATAGCTCAATTAGGAGACGAATGGTTGAAGAAAGAAAATACAAGAGTGAAGAATTATTTCATACCTGTAGCACAACTGAGTAAGGAAAAGCAACAGCAGAGACGCATGAGAAATAGAGTAGATTGTACGAAATACAGAAGAAAAATAAAATTGAGAGACGCAGGAAATGACGATGAAATTGAAAACCAACATGATCAAGAACCTGAAGCCATGGCTAATACTTCAAAAGACGATAACGCAGTTAGTAGTACGACAGATTCTATCAATGGACCATTGACCATAAAGATGGCATTTAAAAGGCCACAAAGTCAATCAGAATGTGAACCAGGTTGCTCGAGACAGTCACGCGGCAGAAAGAAGATAGCACGTGCTTTGGCTAAAGAGTACAGGAAAAATGAACGGTTAGAAGCTGAGAATTAGGCTCTTAAGAGAAAACTAAATACCGTACGTAGACACCTGAGCAGAATCAAAAGTTGTGATAAAGGAAAACAGAGCCAATTAACACCTAAAAGTAAAACCGATAATTTGTTAAGAAAAAGTGGTATAGATCCCGACGTATTACCAGCCATCAGAAAGAAACTTTTGTTTGCCGAATGTATCGGTGAAGAAATTAAAGAAGCTGTGAAATATAATCGGGCAACTGTAAAGCGAATTGTTTCCGGAAAGATTATCAAAAAATATAAAATGAAGAAAACACTAGAACAAATGACAGGGTTAGACCGTCGTCGTAATACGGATTCTGAAATAAAATCTGTCGGGAATATAGTAAAAAGATCACGAAATATTGCTATAAATTCAATTATAACAAACGAAATAATAACTTTTCTTGAAAGAGACGATAATTCAAGAATATTACCTGGTAAAGCTGATGCCGTTAGAGTTGGAACACTTAAACATCAAAAACGTGTTCTTAATGATTACATGTACAATTTGCATACTAAATTCTTGGCTGAATCGACATATAAAGTGTCACTGTCAACCTTTTGTCGTAAAAAACCGCAATGGATTACTCATGTAAACTTTTCTTCAAGAAGTGTATGTTTATGCTCAAAACACCAGAATTTTGCGCTTAAGGTGAGTTGTTTGAAGAATTACAAAATTACTTCAATAACAAGTCCAGACAAATTCATGGATACATATGGCTCAGAAGATGAATTAGACCACTTGTTAAGTAGAATTTCTGCTACAACAATTAGGTATCAAGAATGGAAACGTAAAAAAATGAAGGATAACAAAGAACGTATGCGAATTGTAGATATCGAAGTTCCTAAAGGAGAATTCATGCACATAATGAAGCAAAGTTATAGACAATTTGCAGAACACATAAGAAAGGTGATTGAGCAATATAAAGCGGTGAAAGAAATGAAACAAAGATTGCCATTAGGTCATATTTTAGCACAAATGGATTTCAGCGAAAATTATGCGTGTCAAAACATGGAGGAAATTCAGTCGGCATACTGGAATGCCACTGCCGTAACTTTGCATCCGGTCGTATTGTACTTTAAAGGACATGATGGAAGTTTAAACCACATCAGTGCCGTATATGTGTCAGAGGTCCTGAATCACAATGCTGCTATGGTCATTGCTATCTTAGACAAAATAGTAGAATTAGCAAAAGCGGAAGTTCACGATTTACAGGCTGTGCATGTTTGGACCGATTCACCGACGTCGCAGTACAGAAATAAGACAATATTTGATAACGTAAGCAGATCACAAACACGGTACGAATTGAAGTTTTCGTGGCACTTTTTCGAAAGTGGGCACGGGAAAGGCCCCTGCGACGGAATAGGGGGGACAACCAAGAGATTAGCAGATAATGCAATTAAACAAGGAAAAGTTGTCATACAAGATTCTGATGATTTTTATGAATGGGCAAGAAACACAAGTAGCCAAAAACAATTTCACAAAATATCAGTTGATGATTATGAGAAATCGAAAGAAAATGTTGATAAACGAAACACTGAAATACATCCTGTTAAAGGTACTATGAAGATTCATAGTGTTGTGGCAACTAATACCGGAAACATTAAGACGAGGGAAACAACCTGCGTTTTATGAAGATTGCTTTTGGTCTTACCGGCTTTAATGAAACAACAAGATGCAAGTGGATCAATCATAGCCTAACAAAACCAAAGAAAAAGCAGATATGTCAGACTTCTGACTTTGACAATGATAGCAGTAGCAAAAATGCTTCGGACGTGACTGAATTGCCAGAAAGCAGCAGAAATGAAAACATAAGAAGTGATACCGTCATGGCAAAAAATGGTGACTTTTCTGTCATAATATATGAAAATTTGCAAAGTGGTTGACATTGATAATGAAGATGAAGAGGTGGAAGTGATCTGTGTGGAGAAAAGTGGAAAGGTAGAGGGCCGATTTAAGTGGCCGAGAAGGGAAGATAGAATTTGGATAAGCAAGAAAAATGTGCTAAAAATTATTGACGAACCTAAAGGAATGGGCAAAACATGTTGAATGTTTAGTATAGATAATGAAATTGCAAAGAAATTTGGATTGTAAGTCTTCTAATAAGTTATCATGGAAATCAAATACAATGGTACTTTATAAAGAGTTACTAACTAGTATGACCGTATATATTGTTAAAACAATTTACAATATCAATAACAAAGTAGCTGTCGTTCGTGCATTTCGTGCATTTGATTCATACTCGCTGTAGAAACCTGACACAATACGTAATGACTCAATTTTCGCACAACATTTAATTGTTTCATAATACATGAAGTTCAAATGTAAGTTTGATTTATGCTATATGATGTTATGTTAAAATGTTATTTTGACAGCAGTTAACTTCGTTTTGTTGATGTTAAAACTCTTTCTGTGTTTCGTTTAGGCAAAACTATATGGTATATAGTATTTAGATAATCAAACCTGAAATCGATCATTTACGGGACAATTTTCTGCCAACGTTAAAAATTATTCTTACAAAGCAGATATGGTAAAATAATTTAGCCAAAACATTTACTTCAATTCATGCTAGTTTGTTCAGTTATGTAATCCCTTAATTAACAGGTTTTTTTTTACATTTATCCATAAATACATTGTTAATATAAGTTTGAAATCTGCGTATTTTCATTGTTAAAGAGTTATTTTGGTTTTATATTGCTATAAATATTATAATTCTTTTTGAATAACTTACAGTTCTACATACTTATTCCGTAAATATGCATATAATAAAGTTTTATTTCTTAGTTCTGTCAATAAATGATTCAAGAGATTGTGTCACTTACGGGACAATGTCACACCATTTACGAGTCATTGATACTGTTTTAGAACATTACATACCGTTGACTCTAAACATTTTTTAAATTGCATCGTACAATTAAGCAACATTTACAGAATTAATCTGGAAACTCTTGTAATCCTGCTTGTGCTTATCGTAAATATATAGCTTTTGTCAGTTATGAGTTATTGAAAATAAAGTTATGAACTGTTTGGTGCGAGTTGTTTTGATCAATAATATTTTCAAATCGACCAACAAAATGCAAGTTTAATAATTGATTCTGATTTTCAGAAGTGTATATAGTAAGTTGAAAAAAGTTTATTTAGATGTAAAATAACAAAAGGTGGTAATACATAACTGAAAATGCCTATGTCTCGAAAATGACGTGTGTTTTTGACAGGTCAATGTAGAAAATATGTTGCTGAGCGAAAACTAAGACACTTGTACTGGTAATATTTTTTATATTTTAATTGTTGAAAGGCTAGTAATTACAAATAATGATGAAAACCAAATCTTCGAAGAAGTTCATTTTTCAGTTTTGGAATATGTGAAATGTCGTACTTAAGTGAGAATGAGTGATAACAGTACCTAAATATATATGATATATATGATTTAATATATATGATTTTGATAGGAACTTTATTGCCAAAAAGGTCAAATTATGTTTATTTATAAAAAAAAACCATGCAGAAAGTAAAAGTACCTGTGAGAATACTAATTTAGCTTTACTGAGACATAATCTGAGACAGACAAACCCAAACTCCCCGCAGCGGATACTTCCCCTGATCAGTACAGAAACCACTGCCACCACAAGTAAATTCGGTCGTCAGAGAGCCGAATATATTTTTTTAACTTCTAATTTTAAAAAAGAATACTTTATCTCATTTTAGTTTTCTTTCATTAAATTGTTATGCTTAATGTACAATAATGTAAAAAAAAATATCCTACGTATAAAAATTATTTTGTAAACATAACGAAAAAAATGTTCACTGTGACACCGTATATGTATCCTCCTGTACTTTATTTCGACGCATCTTAATTACGACGCCATTTTTGTTTTGACCTCGTTTTCGATTTCGGGTTTCCGTATGACGTCACTCTCACGCTTTTTAGTATATAAACACCACGGTGATTTCTCGCAGCGAAAATGTGGAGAGTCAGGGATTTTGAGGTACTCTTTTCATACTTTTTAACGTGAAACACTTAAAAATGATGTTTTTTCTTATTACTAATTTTGTTTAACTTTGAAAATGTAGTTTTCAGAAAATTAATAAAAATGACAGCCAGACCAGCCGACACCGCACTCCTCGCTATTTTTAAAAGTCACGTGACAGTCATGTGACAAGTAATGTGACCACTAAATATATATAATTCACTGTATAGGAAGGTGTACTCGTTAGCTCAATTTTGTGAGAATTTATAGTAAAGCTTACATTCTGTTAACCTATTTTTGTCAAGTTTCTATATTATTATTCATTTTATTTTTACAGACCCCTAAAGTCAAGGTCAGGAATTACTCTCCTACTTCTATGACAGCAGCTTACTTAAAATGCAGGGAGGCAGGGGCCCCAATAAGAACAACTGCTCGTCAGTATGGTGTGCCACAGGCTACATTAAGACACAAGCTTAGTGGAAGAACCAATCCTGAGGCTGTTCGTTCAGGACCACCACCTTTATTTACACAGGAAGAGGAAGCCTTATTAGTGGAACACCTTATGTTCACTGCTTCTGTTGGATATGGATACAGCAGGTTGGCATTTTGACATTATCTTATGTTATTAAATCCAAGTGTTAATATTAAATCATAAATTTAATTTATAATCAATATTTTCAAAAATTATTTATTGATGCCAATTATATGAAAACAATTATTTATTTCCAGGAAGGAAGTTATTGATATTAGCACAGAGTATGCTGTTGCTTTGGGTCATAGACAACCAGGGGAACCTTTATCAGTTGGCTGGTTTGTATTGTTCAAGTCTCGGTGGCCAGAGCTGAAGATCCTTGCTCCAAGAGGCCTTGAACTTCAGCGTGCCAAGGCAACGTCACAGGAATGCGTGGATAGATATTATAAAGAACTGTCACATATTCTTGTTAAATACAATCTTTGTGATCGTCCAGAGAGACTTTATAATGTTGATGAAAAAGGCTTAAGTACTAGACATAAGCCTCCACCTGTTGTCTCTGGGCAAGTAAAATCCCAAGCTGTAGTGTCAGCCAGTAGGGATAATGTTACCGTGTTAGGTTGTGGTAATGCTCAAGGTCAGCAAATACCTCCATACTTTGTTTTTCCTGGTGTTCGAATGAATTCCGCATTGCTTGAAGGTAGTACTCCTGGGGCTGATGGTACTGTATCAGAGAGTGGTTGGAGCAATAGTGAAATCTTTAAGCACTATCTCCAATCACATCTGATAAAGTACTTTCCAGAAAGATCTGAATCTTGCCCAGTTGTTTTATTTTATGATGGGCATAGATCTCATATTAATCTTAATATTGTTCAGTGGGCAAGGCAAGAACACATTATTTTATTTATTCTTCCTGCTCATACATCTCATGTACTTCAGCCCATGGATGTAGGTTGTTTCGGACCTTTTGAAAAAAATTTCAAACAATGAACCATGCATTGAGTCTGACGTTGTTTTATCTAAAACTGTCTCTCCTGCTTCTTTTTTCACAAATAAAAAAACCTCTCTGACATGTAAGAAGCCACCTACTAAGAAAAGAAAATATTTAAGTACGATTGTGAGTGGTAAAGCAATTACAGAGGATGATATGTTTGAAGCAATTAAAGAACATGAAGCTGCTCGCAAACCATCAAGTACAGGTAAAGGGAAAAAAACATCAGAGAAAGGTAAAAAACAAAAGAAAAGTAATAAATCTGACCCTGTCCCTAGTACCTCTGTCATCAGAAAGCAGACTGAAGTTTTTACAAATGTTGATGATGATGATGATGGTGATGATAACTCTATTGATGAATCTGAAAAATGTTGTGTGTGCAACAAATTCACACCTGATGAAGTCAGGAATAGTGTGTCTTTGGTATTCACTAAGTGGGTGCAGTGTGACAAATGTGGACACTGGACACACTTGAAATATTGTACAAATATTGCTGTTGTTCGAAGAGGTGACCATTTTTTTTGCAAACATTGCACTCCAGAGGAGTAAATAATGGTAAATGTATGTAACTATTGTTGTTTTTATTTACCTGTAATGAATGTTAAGCATGTTTGAATGTAATTCTCTGAAAGACTGCAAATCTTGTTATAACTATCATATATTTATGCTTGTCAGTGAACTGATTGTTTTTAAAATGTTTCGTGCTGTTTACAAAATTGCTGTACATCATTCTCGCAGTGAAAAGGAAGTGTACTTTCGTTTTAGAAAGATTAAATATAGAAACCAATCAAATGCGTCGTTTCTCTGTACTCTCATATCCGCCATATTGGAAATCACCCCTTGACATATATTTGATTTGTTTGTTTTAACAATAGTTTTCAGCTAATGAAAAAAAGTTGTAAAAGATGGAAAAATGAACAAAAATTCCATTGCTAAGGTAATTTATCAGTTGACACCTTTATTTGATTCGGTGCACAGCGATTGTTTCTTAGGTGCGTCGGAACTGCGTACACGAGGATATAGTAAACAATGGCTGAAGTTAGACAGTAACTGTTAATAACGATTTCGCAAAGATCCGGGATATGTTTGAAAGTGTATAGTAGACAAGTTGAGTGTTTTGAACATATCTGGTAAGGATGTTATTGTAAATCTGCCAGTTGGATATGGGATCCTTGGCGTTCTGAAACTGGCCATGTTTTTGTCACACGATACAACTATCGTCACGTGGGTTTCAGTGGTGGCAGTGGTTAAAGTAGCTAAGCGAGACGTAACCGCTGTGAGGAGTTTGAGCTTGAGATTTTGACTTTGAGAACGTTAGTGAAAGCCGGGCCTGGTTTATACACACGACACGGCTTCTCATAGATGGGAACATTTGTAGGAAGTTTCATTGGAATCCCTCCGTACCTGTAGGAGACATGCTCTGGACGAAATCTTTATAATTATTTTATCATCTTTAGTGACCTTGACAATCATCTTTACTGACCTTGACCTTGCATATATTAACCTAAATTACATGTTTCACACCAGCAGTCATGAAAATGAACATTTGTGTTTCAAATCCCTCAATAAATGATGACTAAATAGTCCCAATACACATTTTCAAAATTTTAATCTGAAATTTGACCATATATGTGACATTGACCTTGGCCGCAGGGACCTAAATTTTGCATGCGCCACTCTGCCTTGCAATAGTAAACATTTGTGCAAAGTAATATTGAAATACCTTTTTGCATGTAGAAGTTTTGCTCTGGAATAAAGCGTTTTTCAATAACATTTAAGTTTGTCCTTGATTTTTTACCTAGAAACCTGTTTTTGCACGCGACACGGTATTTATAGTAGTTATCATTTGTATGAAGTTTCATTAGAATCCCGCGATATGTGTAAAGTTATGCTCTGAAGAAAATCTCTATATTTTATTATCTTAAGTGACATTGACAATTATCTTTTAAAAGTGACCTTGGCCTTTCAAATATTAACCTAAATTACATGTTTCACATCAGTAGTCATAAAATGACCATTTGAGTTTCCCTCAATAAATAATGACTAAATGGTCCCAACACACATTTTTATATTTTTATCTGAGTTTTTACGCCTGTGTGTGACCTTAACCTTGGTCGCAGGGACCTAAATTTTGTAAGGCGACACTTTGTCTTACAAAAGTGAACATTTGTGTCAAGTTATATTGAAATCCCTCTATGCATGTAGAAGTTTTGCTCCGGTCAAGCGTTTTTCTACGACCTCTAAGCGTGACCTTGGCCTTTGACCTAGAGATCTGGTTCATGCACGGGACAGGACTTTTTATAGTGGTGAACATTTGTATTAAGTTTCATTAAAGTTCCTTTATGAGTGTAGGAGATATGCTCCGAACAAAAATCGGATGTCCCCCAGCCGCCCTCCAGGAGGGAACTATAATACGACCCGTTATTCACACGGGCGTATAAAAATAAATAAATAAAAATACCATTTGTAAAGTGCATAGTCAAGCACGAAGAAAATTTCGATCTCGTAGTCGGCCGTCTGTCGCTTTTCTCTGGTATTTATTGTCTGCTTTGAGCGATTCTGCATCTTCTCTTCAGTAATATTAGCGTCTAAAGAAAATGGATAGTTTGAACTATTAGGTGTCTGAACATGATCACTATCCGTAAACAAGCTATAACCATAAATGTACTTTTAATTGACCATATACCATTATATAACCATATTTACCACACACCTGTGTCGATTTTGCGACTCTGTAAATATGGTATTGCACGGCCGTGCATATATTTTGACGTGACGTCATTAGCGTTAATGTTAGCGTTATACTATAGACGCGTCAATGAAAAATGAATCTTATTTCACTTTAAACGGTCTTTATTTTGGGTATGTGATAAATAGAATATTAAATTCGTGTAAGTTCATTACTGAATTTATTGCACTCGTTGAATAAAATATTATTATGCTCGCCAGAGGCTCGCATAATATAATTTTATTCAATTCGTGCAATAAATTCAGTATTGAACTTACACTCATTCAATATCCTCTATATCATTACATTTGCGTTTTTACAGAATCGCAATATCAGGTCAAATCGGGGATTCAAAGAAGATCTTCTTCACTATTGATATAAAATATTCCTATCGATTTTATTTTAGAAAACAAAGGGAATCAGCATATGTATTTAGTTTAACAACGTAAAGTTTTATCACTTGAAAAACCTGTGTCCGTTTATAATTTATTTATTGTTTTAAGTCTTTAATCAGAAAAAAAAATTAATTGCATTTAAGGTAAAGAAATATCAAATGATCGGACACAGCAAACGAGCTACACCTAAATTTACAATCTAAAAAATGCCAGATAAGTAAAAAAATATTTACACAGAAACCGTTGAATAAAAAATGAAACTTATCAATATTGGAACTTTATCCGAGTTATTTATTTGCATGTGAATAAATCTACTAAAGACTAAGTTTTTCAACTAAAACCTTACCTGTGTCTGGCAATTTAATATAATCAAACGATGTTGTCAGCTTTTCTTCCATTAGCGCTACTGTGTAAGTACTTCGGTTATCCCTCGGTGGTTGCACCAAATAATTATGTTGTTTGGATACGAATGTTCCGTACTAGAAACACATCAATTTCTATTATATAACAGATATTATGAATACATCATAACAACTAAACACAATGAATACAACATTTAATGCTTCTCGCATTTTTCATCCTTTTAATACGGGTACTCTTCTTTTTGGTAATGTTGCTTATTCCGAAGAAGGCAATTCATTAATATTTTTAGAAGTTCAAAGATACATTAAGCATACGGAACGTTTTTGTTAAAATCTGTTCAATGATTTTGATTTTTGCGCTTCAAAATCAAATGCAATTGTAAATTCTTTGTTGGGTTATTCAATGCCATTTCTATGTAATCTATAGTATAATTTTTCTTGATTGTTTCAGGGACGAACCGAATTAGTAATGTTATATGAATTTATGATCCCATCCTTTTTCTTTCAAAAATATATTTTTATACTTTTTTCTATTAATTTACATTGTACATCTCTTGTAATAAAATGAAAGGAATAGAATATGTATAATGTAAAATAACAAACAATGGTCACCTTCTTATAATAAATAATAAAGCTTGCATCGTCTTCGTAGCAAAAACATTTTTTGTTATTTTTGCTTTTAAAAGTTTAAATGATGCTAATACTTTGTTTTTAAAACTGACAAATCAATATAATATTATAAATGAAATTTGTATAATATTGCATAGGATTGTGGTGGTTTGTTGTGGACGACTTTTGTTTGCCACAATTATACAAATTAATCATTACGAAAATTCTTAGTCCGTAACCTGTATAGTAAAAAAGAATACAAAAAACCCGTAACGTAACAGTATGAAGTGTTCTACGTTTATATGTTCGTGGGAAGACTCAATCTAATTTTAATAACGCTGAAAAGCCAACAAAGCAAGCAGTTAAATCCTAAATATTAATGAAAACACCATATGTACTTCTTTATGGTCTGTAACACCGCACTTTAGGGTCAAACGCACTATGGGATCCGACCCCAAAGTGCGGTAAACTTCACAGCGCACTTTGGGGTCAAACGTACTTTGGGTTTCAGAGTTTTTAAGTCTGCTTAAATACTGAGTACTGACTTATTTTCGAATTCTGCGACACTGAAATATTTGAGGCGGAGTTCAAGATGACGGTCGATACTAATATATACATCAATATTTCTAAGTGTCATTTCATTAAATGCTGATGTAACAGTTATAACAAGAGCACGGCTAGGCGGAGCATTATATGCCCAAAAGTGATTTTTGTTAGAAAAAATGTAGCATTTGTAAGACATGGTAATTAAATAATTTTATTACGACGGATGGACAGAATGATGCCAGGGATATAACATAATATAAGCAAAATTTTAGGGCATATAATTAATGTGCTCAATACATGTGATTGTCCTTTGAAGTTTGACAATTGTAAAAATTTTAACATTATTAAGGTCATTTGACATTGACCTTGTGATCCAAAAATAGATATGGATCTTTAATTTAATATAGGCAATCATCCACTGTAAGCCAAATGGAAGTTGTGTTATATTCCGGAAGGCACAAATTTCAGTGTTAAGGTCATTGTGACCCTGACCTATGATCTTATGAACCTTAAATCAATAGGGGTCATGTATTGGACACGGCTGTTCATCCTATAAAATTTTAGAGCTGTAGGTTGATTAATACTAAAGTTATTGAGCAAAAACCGTTTTCAGTTTTAAATTTTAATAATGACCTTGATCTCGTTACCCAAAAATAAATAGAGGTCTTCTCCTCAATATTGACAATCATCCTAAGGCAATAGTGACCTTGACTTTTGGCCTTGTGACCACAAAATCAATAGGGGTCTTCTACCCATTATGAACAATCATCCTATGAATTTGAATATTGATGGCCGAATGGAACTTAAGTTATGTTCCGTTAACTGTTTTCAGTTTTAAGGTAATAGTGACCTTGCTCTTTGACGTTGTGACCTTAAAATCAATAGGGGTCTTCTACCTAATATAGAAAATCATCATATGAAGTATGAATATTGTTGGCCGAATGAAACTTATGTTATGCTCCGGAAAGCAAATTGCCAACGGGCGGACGGACAGACGTGTCAACATTTGGGGTTTATGTGCTTTCTTGGATCTTTATGTGGCATTTTCCCCATAAACCAGTAAAATTACCATAAAAACCAGTCGGTTATACAGGATTTCCTTCTTTTTTAAACTAAAACGGAATGAAGCTCATAGACCATTGATTGTTCGCCCGGACAGACAGACGGACGGAAGGACGCCAGGGCGTATAACATAATATGTCCGAAATTCTTTCCTGCATATAAAAACGTGTTTGATGCTTAATTGGTAAGTGACTTAAGTGTTTTATTTATTTTACCACTTGAAATATCTAAATTTTTCGGCTATATAACAAACTACTATAGTACTTAAATTGCAAATGTATTCCTACAAATTAGAAAAATATCCTGTTCTTTCCGCCATTTAATGTCATATTGAACCTCATATTTAATACACGATGTGGGTGTAATAAAATGCAAACTAGAACTGCCACTATCATCGCGTGAATACCCTCTCATACCACTTTGACAGAATTAACAGTGGCCATTTAAAGCATAAAGCATCAAGGACAAACTCCCTGCCAGATCTGAGAATATTTGAAGCCAGTGCATTTCTAAGTTATGTGTTATACATGCTTCAAAGGTAAAAAATATCAAAATCAATACACTGCGGAAAGGCATCCTTAAGCATTTGAGCAGACAAGTTTATTTTAGTAAAATTCCCGTGACCTTGACCTTTGACACAGTCACGTAAACATCAAAAAGGGTCATCTACTAATCATAGACAATCTCAATACCGAATATGTTTTCAAGACTGTTGACCAAAGCATTTTTATACATGAGCAGACAAGCTTTTTAGGTCAAAGGCCCTGTGACCTCAACTTTTGACCCATTGACTTCAAAGTCAATAGGGGTCACCTAATGGTCATAATCAACCTCCATGCCTAATATGAAGACTGTGTTTTAAAGGTTTTTTTAATGATTGGGTGGACAAACTTTTTGAATTCAAGGCCCCTGTGTCCTTGACCATTGACCCAGTGACTTCAAAATCAATAGGGATCACCATATGGTCATGATCAACCTCCATGCCAAATATGAAGACTGTTTGTCAAAGGTTTCTTAAATGATTTGGTGGACAAACTTTTTGAAATCAAAATCCCTGTGACCTTGACCTTCGACCTAGTGACCTCAAAATCATTAGGGGTCACCTACTAATCATGACTTTTTGAAGTCAATGCCCCTGTGACTCGACCTTTAACCTGGTGACCTAAAAATCAATAGGGGTCATCTACTCATCATGACTAACCTTCATACCAAATATGAAACTGTGGGTCAAGGGAATCTTAAGTTATTGGGCGGACAACCTTTTTCCAGTCAAGGCCCCTGTGACCTTGACATTTGACCTCAAAATCAATAGAGATCATAAACTTATCATGACTAATCTAAATATCAAATATTAAAACTGTTGGTCAAAGAAATCTTAAGTTTTTGGGCAACAAGGTTTTTAAGTCAAGGCCCCTGTAAACTTAACCTTTAACCCAGTGACCTCAAAATCATAAGGGGTCACCTATTAATCATGGCTTACCTCCATGCCAAACATGAAGACTGTGGCAGTCAAGGCCCCTGTGACATTGACCTTTGACCAAGTGACCTCAAAATCATACTTCTCATATGACTAACCTCCATACCAAATATGAAGGCGGTGGGTAAAAGGAATCTTAAGTTATTAGATGGACAATCTTTTTGAAGTCAAGGCCCCTGTGATCTTGACCTTTGATCCATTGGCCTCAAAATCATTTGGGATCATTTACTATGTATGACCAATCTAACTACTAAATATGAAGACTGTGGGTCAAAGTCATCTTAAGTTATTGGGCTGACAAACTTTTTGAAATCAAGGCCCATTTGACCTTGACCTTTGACCCAGTGACTTAAAAATCAAAAGGGGTAGCCTTATGGTCATGATCAACCTCCATGCTAAATATGAAGATTGTGGGTCAAAGGTTTCTTAAATGATTGGGCGGACAAGGTTTTTGAAGTCAAAGCCCCTGTGACCTTGAAATTTGAGCTAGTGACCTAAAAATCAATAGGGGTCATCTACTCATCATGACTAGCCTTCATGACTAATCTAAATATCAAAAATGAAAACTGTTGGTCAAAGAAATCTTAAGTTATTGGGCAGACAAGCTTTTCAAGTCAAGGCCCTTGTGACCTTGACCTTTGACCCAATCACCTCAAAATCAATAGGGGTCATCTGTTAATCATGACTAATTAATCTCTATGCAAAACATGAAGACTATAGGTCAAATGAATCTTACGTTATTCGGTGGACAAGCTTTTTCAATCCAGACCCGTAATCTTGACCTTTGACCCAGTGACCTCAAAATCAATAGCGGCCACCTACTTATTATGACTAACCTCAATACCAAATATGAAGACCCTGGGTCAAATGTGTCTTATGTTATTGGGCGGACAAGCTTTTTAAAGTCAAGGCTCCTTAGACCTTGACCTTTGACTATGTGACCTCAAAATCAATAGGGGGCCTTTACTCATGATGACTAACCTCCATGCCAAATATAAAGACTGTAGGTTAAAGGAATCTTAAGTTTTTGGGCGGACAAGTTTTTTGAAATCAAGGCCCCTGTGGCCTTGACCTTTGACCCAGTCACCTCAAAATCAATATAAATCATGTACTGTAAATGTCCAATCTAACTACCAAATATGAAGACTGTGGGTCAAAGGAATTTTAAGTTATTGGGCGGACAAGGAAAAACCGAAGAACGGCAGGACGAGCTTATTCCAGTATATCCCCCTTACAACTTCGTTGTGCGGTATTATAATTTCATCTCAGTGCATTTTAATTTCTATCTTAATGACTTGTGACAAGTAAGTTAGAAATAGAATTTATCATAAAATGAATAAAGTTACGTGACGGTTACATCAAACCTTTTTCACATCTGTTAATGCCTTAGAGTACATTTTGGTTTTCATCCCGTAAATCTTCA